GAGGTAAGTCATGGCGGCGTTGTTCAGTACCTAGGTACCCAGGTACGGATGTAGTCGTTGGAAGCGGTGTTGGTCATGCCCCAAAAGAAACGCAGCCACACGCCATGCGTCTATGTGGGCGTGTGAGGTGGGCTGAGGACAGAAGACAGGAAGTGACAAGACTCGACTAACACATTACGACCTCGCCAGTGGATGTTTTAGGGGGGGCAAGTGAAGGAAGTGAGGTGTGACAGGAACGCCTCGCTCCAGAACCTGTTCGTGCCATTTGGCGACGACATGTCAGTTGGTGAGCATTTTGGCCTGAAATGTGAGGCGCAGAGACCCATCTCCCCTTCCCGCCTACCACCACCGCCCACCCTCTGATTGCACCGTGGCGTTAGATACCATGGACACTGTCCTTGCCGTACCATGTACTATGTACATCTCGTCGCCAATCATGCCATGCCCATCCTTCCAAGTGGTGCTGAGGGGTGGCCCGCGCGCTTCCTTCGCACTCTCTCTCCCCTCTCTCTCTTCCTCCCGTCTCCAACTACCCGTCTCCCTTTCAATTGAATTTCAGGTGTCTCGCAGGCGGCCTGGGCGACCTAGTCAGATTCCCGAGACGCGCAATTCCCACGACGTGGTACCCGATCTCTCGCTGGGCTGAATGTCTCAAATGCACCCATGATTCGTGATCACCTAGGCAGATGCCATGAAACATGGTTCGGATTACTCGGTCGGGCACAGCGACCTTTTTTTTGCACCGACCAGCAAAGAATGCTGCGCGAGGTTGAAGGTGGTAGTAAATCGGCGTGGATTCTTCTCTCGCTCTGTATGTGTGTGTGTGTGTGCGTGCGTGTGTGTGTGACCTTTGCTCGGCACCAACACAGCAAACCATCAGCCAACGGCACACGATGTGGGGCGAAAAGCGTAAACCGTAATAAGGTAGGTACGCAGTGCGTAGGGCCGGCCGCCTGAAAGGTGCACTCACACATCCATCAATCAACCTTTCCCTCGAGTCTGGTCGTCTGGAGGTGCCAGAGGACAGCGGATGAGTGCTGTTCCTCCTCCTAAGACTCACAGTGCGGAGTCCTCCGCCTCATCTGCCCTGCCTCTCCTCGCCCTGCTGCACGCACGCTCACGGTGCGCCGGCATCTGAGAGGGGAAGGCCCTGGCCAGCAAGTGGAGAGTCGCGGAGTTTGCGGGGGAAGAGGTCCACATCCGAGGTACCGCTGAAGTACACAGTATCGCGCTACCGTAAAGACCCGGTGCATCGGTTCCTGCCCCCTTGACTGACCCCGTGGGCTGTGGGCTGGGCTCCTACGAATACGGCTGCCACTGACCTCTCTGCTCAATGCCTGTTTGTTTCCCTTGTCTTCGTCTTCGTCTCTGCCCACTGCTGATTTGATGGGCCTGGCGATCAGGGTCGACCAGGGGCTGCCGTGAACTGGTCTCTGCCATGCATGCCTGCCTGGATCGCCCGCAGTTACGGCCTGCCAGCCTGCCTGCCTGCCTGCCTGCCAGCCTGCCTGCCAGCCTGCCTGCCACAGCCATTTCATTCAGACCATCGCTCCCGCTGTGATGAGATGAGATGAGACTCGGACGAGACAAGCAGGCGGCGTTCTTGGCTTGGGCTTGTCTCGCCAGTGCTCGTGGCGGGCGTGGCCATGCTCCGAGGTTGGATCCGGGCTGGCAAGGCTCGTACACCGGTTCGAGGCGTTCTTTTCTTTCCTCGCCATCACTGACTCTCTCTCCTGTGAATCAGTTCATCGAGCACGCGCGCATATATTCCTTGCCATCCTTTTTTCTTCCTTCTCGAAACGAGCTGACGTTGGCTGTACGCCATGTCATGTACATGTGTGCAGCCCTTCCTTGCCTCATTGCCTTACCTAACTAAGTATCTAATACTTATGTAGGTACCGACCTACCTGAGGTAAGGTGACGTGAGGTAGACGTGTGTCGTATAGCATCCAGACCTCAGGCAAAGCAATGTACGCGGTTCTTGTCCCTAGACCGCCTCCTTGGGAAGCCCTCGGCGAACACGTAACACAACGAACGACATTCTGGACGGTAGCCCGTGAGCGTCATGCCATACCAACCTTACTCAGGACCACCTGTCTTCTCCTCTTCCCTCCCTCCTCCCAGCCTTGATTCGCCCCTGTCTGACCCTCGCCCATGCAGTTCGGCATGCCAAAATCCCAGCACCGCAATTCGCCGCGAATCATCTGCTCGCCGCTACACAGGGGTGCCTCCGCCTCTAACAACGCCCGACATCAGGACGAAGCAGTAGCCGCAACAGCCACATCAGCCAGGCAATGTCCGCAAGGCAGGCGGGTGGGAACCCAGGCAAGGCAAGCAGGCGGGTGGACAGACCATCAGACAAGCTAAAAAAACAAGCTGTTTCGGTGAGGAACTCAGTCCAGCCCAGCCCGCTTACCTGCCGTGCCTACCTGTGCCGGGACCTGACGGACGCCCTCGGTATGGCTAGGTAGCGGTCGGGGTACAACGGCCGTCTGTGAGGAGTGGCTCTGGCAGGAGAGCAATGCGTTGAGCTGGACGACACTCATCAGCCCTGTCGGTCAGAGCTCTGCGCCCTCGTTTGTCTCGACCTCTTTTCCTGGCGCACGCCACCAAATGGCCCGTCCTGTCTCTCGTAGGAACAAGCAGCCAAGACCACCAGCACGCACCGCCCGCCTGCTGAGAGATTTGGTGGTCGTACATGCGAATAGGGATGCAGGCCGAGAGGGCTTGCGACGTGGAGAGAGCAGACCTCTCGCCACCTCTTGGCCTTTCTCGAGGCGTTGCTTCAGCGGCACGGGGCGCGGTCGTGTAGATTCCTTCCTCTTTCTGCGTCCCTCTATCAGACTAACGACAGTGCTGGTCTCGATGATCCCCAAGATCCTGTGCGGCCCCGTTGGAACTTGAAGCTTATGTCCCAGGAGGGAAGAAGCACAAAGCTAGGCACGACCTGCCATTGGTAGTTGGCGTGGCCCGACCTGGCCTGGCAAAACATTTTTGGGTTGGGATCATGCTGCTTCACTGCATTTGTGGAACCGGACTGACAATGGGGATCGTGCGGGCTGGCTGCGCATGTGATCTCGTCGTGCTTTGCAGAGCGGTCACCAGCCCCGATCTCACAGGTTACCTTACCTTAGTGGGTAGTATCAGAGGTGTGGTTCCCGAATCCCGAAGTCGAAGAGCAATCCAGACCTGCGCTCTGAGATGCAATTTCGATGCGGCATGGCCCAGTAGCGTCTCCAGTTTGTCGGTCTCTTTGATGGGGATTTGTAGACTTTCTGCCCAGCATTTGTCGTTCATCAACAACTTGTTTGCCTCTGGAGTCCCCAAAGGTGGCAACTTCAGTCCAAGACGTCCGAAGCAGGCCAGAATCATGAACAGTGTCTCCGATACCGGTCTGGGCCATGGTTGATGTCATCCAGGCTCAGCAAGTCGAACTAGGTCGAGGAAGCTCACGCAGCCAAACTCGTGGCTTCGAAAGCTTGTCCTCTAAACATGTGCGCTAGGACATG